TTCCTCAGAAGCAGGTGAAAAAACAGCAATAACTTGCTACAGTGTGTATAAAATCAGTGCTTTTCTATTAATGATTTTGTTTCTAGCATTTAAGATTAATATAACTTATAAATATGCAAGAAATATCTACTAGCCAACATGTATAATCCAACACAATTTTGTTTGTGTAATAGACTGGAACCTATATAAGATAGCAAACAATAATACAAGTTTACTGCAACTACTTTGCTTTTTTGTGTCAGTGCTGGGGGCTTGAACCTGGGTACTATCGCTCAGCTTCCTCTACTCAATGCTAGTGCTCTACCACCTGAGCTACAGCTTTACCTCCAGCCTTTTGGTGGTTAATTGGAGATAAGACTTTCACAATCTTTCCTACCCGGGCTGCCTTCAAACTGTGATCCTCAGATCTCAGCCTCCAGGAGCTAGCATTATAGTCATGAGCCACTGGCACCTGGCTTACTCATGATTTTTGTTTTTTGTTTTTGGTCCAAGACTAGGACTGAAATTTGGTACTCACTGGCTGGTGCTCTAACAACTGAACCATACCTCTAAATTCTTACTCATGGATTTTGATTGGTTGCTAGCTTTAAAATATTATTTCTTGGGGCTGGGAAGGTGGCTCAGTGGTAGAGCGCTTGCCTTGCATGCATGAGGCCCTGGGTTTGATTCCTCAGCATCACATAAGCAAAAAGAAAAAAGCTGGAAGTGGCGCTGTGGCTCAAGTGGTACAGTGCTAGCCTTGAGCTGAAGAGCTGAGGGACAGCGCTCAGGCCCAGAGTTCAGGCCCCACGACCAGACCCAAAAATAAATAAATAAATAAAATAAAATATTATGTCTATGTTATCAAATATTTTCAATTATATAATTCTAAGCATCTTGCCCAGAAAGAACTTAAAAAATTGTTGAGTTATAGTCTTGCCTTTTAAATCAATATTTTTTTACTTCGATTATGTCTAGATTCTGGCTAATTCAACCATTTTAGAGTGTATGTGTTGTTGGTGTACTTAATTTTAGAATATTATTCAAGGCTAAAATAGAAAAATCAGTCCAAAAATTCATACAGAAGCATGTCAGTCCCCAAGTAGCAAGAGCAATTTTTTTTTTGGGGGGGGGGGAGGAGAGCAATGTTGGAGTATCACAATACCAGACTCCAAATTATATTACAGAACCATAGTAACAAAAAGTAACAGACCTTAAGACCAATGGACTAGATGATCTAGGAACAAAACACACACAACTAGAGCTATCTAATTTTTAACAAAAGAGCCAAAAACTACATAAATGGTGCAGAGAAAAATTAGTTATCCACTTACAGGAGACTGAAAGTGGACTCATTGCCTTGGAGAAAATCAACTCCAAACAGATCAATGAGCTCAAAGTAAGACTTAAAACTTTAAATCTAGTATAGGAAAGCACATAGAAAAACCTGGAATTTATAGGCCCAAGTAATTTATTTGAATAGGACTCTAACTGCCCAAAAAACAAGAGCAAGAATTAACAAATGGAATTGAATAAAATTAAAATTTTCTGCCCAGCAAAAGAAACAATTAACAGAACAAAGAGGAGATACATGAAGAGAGAAAAAAAAATTTTGAGCTATTGAGCAGAAAAAGGATTGATACTCAGAATATACAAAGAGGTAAAAAAATTAAACATGAAAAGAAATAATCTAATTAATTAGTGAACAAGTGAATTGACAGTCTTCAGAAGAAGAAATACAAATTGCTAATAAGTACATGAAGAAGTGTTCAACACCCTTGTCCATAAAGGAAATGCAAGTCAAAACCACACTAAGATTCCATCTCACCCCACTCAGAATGGCAATCATCAAGAAAATAAACAACAAATGCTGGCAAGGATTGGGGAAAGGAATCCTTCTTATATACTGCTAGTGCAAGCCATTATGGAAATTAGGGTGGAGGTTGCTAAAAAATCTGAAATTTCATCTACCACGCCATACCACTATTGGGCATTATCAAAAGAAGCATAATAAATCATGTGTCTGTGTTTATTGCAGCACTGTTCATACTAGCTAACCTGTGGAATCAAGCAAAACACCCAACACAAATGAATGGATGAGGAAGGATGGTACATATATACCATGGAATTTACACAATCACAAGGAAAAATGATATCATGCCATTTGAAGAAAAATGGAACTGAAGGACATGTTGAGCAAGACAAGCCTGAAAGTCAAATATATGTTTCTGTTCATATATGGGAAGTAGTCCTAAAAGACATACTCATGCACATGAATATACATACATGTATATAAATGTTCATATATACACTAAAATAATTTCAAGGTTAAAAACCAGCGCTGTGTTAAATGTTAGAAGAAAGCCACATTTATAATGTGAAGTACATCACACATAAGCCCAAGAACAAAATGAGGGCACCAACAACCAAACAGAGCTCAAAAAATACAGAAGTAGCAAAGACAGCCAATTAACTATCAAAGTCTTATATACAAGTTTTGTTTTAAATATTTGTAGTAGTAGGTTGGAGGAAATAAATCTACTGAATTTATAAGATTGCAGAGCACCATTAGATTTGGAAGTATCAAAACTAAGTTGGCATCCTCAACCTTGGTTGTATACTACTCAAATGTGGTTAGAAAATAAAGGGCTCCATCCATCCCCAAAGACTCTGGCTTAACTCCCTTGAGTGAGACACAGACAGTACTATTTATTAAAAGCATCATTCTGTTGTGAACCCAAGGCTGAGACCCACTATAAAGACCAATGGGGATCAGATGAAAAGACCTAAGGAAGCAATGTAGTAGTGTGAAGATCTTTCCTGAAATGACCTCATTCATGCCAAAAGAAAAAGTACTAGTGACTAAACTGATTAATTTTAAATAGCCCTAAGATATAAACTAATTCAACTTTCCTTAAGAGTGCTATGAAAAAAATCAATAATGAATTTAAAAATACAAGAAATATTACAATTTCAATCCAGAAAGGCGTCTTTCTGCCATAAGGAGAGACAAATGGAGTTCATCTACCAAAGGCCAGTCTTCCCACCCCTATCTGGGATATCTTTTGCTTCTGAATCTCATCCTACATCAACTATTGTTTGTTTTTTCTATCTCCTCTCTCTCTTGGACCCATTCCACCAACACAAATATTTCAGTCTCTCCCTCTTTTTTTTTTTGTCGGTTGTGGGGGCTTGAACTCTGGGCCTGGGCACTGTCCCTCAGCTCTTCAGCTCAAGGCAAGCACTCTACCACTTGAGTCACAGCGCCACTTCCAGTTTTCTGGTGGTTTATTGGAGATAAGAGTCTCATGGACTTTCATGCCCGGGGTGGCTTTGGACCGTGATCCTCAGATCTCAGCCTCCTGCGTAGCTAAGTGGCGTGAGCCACCAGCACCTGGCTCGCCTTCTTAAGACACACGTCCCTGGTCTCCTATTTTCAACTGACCCACAATTCTATTATATTTTCTTAATGTTATTAAGTATACAAAGAGCATTCCCACAATCATACTCTCCTTATGTCTCTCAGGTCAGTTACACCATCAGTGTAGCTACTGACTCAGAATATTGGGAGTATCTCCTTACAACACGTTTTGCCAAATGACACTATGATACTGCTGTTGAAAATCTCTCTCCACTCCAGTCAAGCATTTCCCCATGACAGACAAAAAAAAAAAAAATCAGGGAAACCAGCACAGATGGCTCAAGCTTGTAATCTTCGCTACTCAGGAAGTTAAGATATAAAAACCTAAGTTTGAAGCTAGTCCCAGGCAAGAAAGTCCATGAAACTTATCTTCAATTAATTAACAAAAAGCCAGAATCAGAGATGTGGCTCAATTCACCCACTCTGAGCAAAAGTACTAAGGGACAGCATACATAGGTCCTGTGTTCTTCTAACCCCAGTACTACACAGAAAATTAGAATTAAGAATGAGTTCATCCTATCTTCATTTAATGGAGCAAACATTATGCTCCTTTCTCACAAACACACACAAAACCAAATAACAAAACATCTGGCACTGGTGGCTGATGCCTGTAATCATAGCTACTCAGAAATCTGAGGATGAAGGTTCCAAGCCAACCCCTTGCCATAAAGTCCATAAGACTCTTATCTCTGATTAACTTCCAAATAGCCAGAGTGGGGCTGTAGCTCAAGTGACAAGTGCTAGCCATGAGCACAGAAGCTCAGGAACAGCAGCCTGACCCTGATTTCAAGTCCCAGGATGAGGGAAAAGGATGGGGGGGGCGGGGGGGGCAGGAGGAGTGCAAGGGCACATGCACACACACAGATAAAATAAATGAATTTGTTAAATATTAAACAATAATAATAGAAACAAGCATGCACATATAACTGAACATTTTTGCTTTTGCCTTTGCTGATTAGTAGGTCCCATTTATTTTTAAACACTTTTGTTCATTTGCCCCCCCCCACAATTACTTAGCTAGTCATATAGAGTTACAATGTTAATATAGAAAAGGTTATGTTCTCAAATTGGTAGACACTAATGTATACCCAATTTTATAACATTATGTGTTGAGTGTTACAAAATGAGCATAGGTTCAGGCTCAGAGCATCTAATCCTCTGCAGATCAAAGGGGAGGAAGGAAAGGAGGGAAGGAAAGGGAAGGAGAAAGGGGGAGGAAGATGTAGTGCTGGGAAAAGATGAAAGATGCATGGAAACTGGTATTCCACTGCAAGGAACTGATAGAGTGATTGGGCAGTATGTGTATATACAAGCTTAAGAGTCAGGTAGGCATGGTGAAACAGACTTGAAACTCTAGCACTAGGGAGACTTGAGGCAAAGAGGATTTTGAGTTTGAGGCTAACATGGGATATAGCAAGACTCATTAAAAAAAAAACAAAACACCTCACAAAAATAAGTTTAAGAGTATAATCACTGGACTGGAGACTGAATGCTAAAAGAACTTGCCAAACATTCCTAAGTCCCTGAATTGGATTCTCAGTACTGAAAGAAAACGGGGGAAAAAAATTAAGAGTGACCAATAATGTAGATACCACAAGAATGAATATCCATTTAGCTTTTAATATGTTACCTTTTATTTTACAATATATTTCAAAAAATGCCATTATAGTTGCCTTAACTGCTCTATAAGACCTGGGGGAAAAAAACACTTAGAATCAGAACACATAAACATCAAGCTGAAATGCCTACTTGTACTTAACCATTACTACCAAAAGGTTATAGTTTGTTGTTTTTTTTTAAATAAGCAGATGTGTGGCAAGATAAAATAAAAACTTGTTAAAACAGAAAGTAAACATCACTTTAATGGTTATAGAAAGGAGGTGGTTTTGTTTTTCCAATACATCTGGTCTGGCAGCAAGTAGTACTATGCATTTAAAGCAGTATGTGCCCTGAAAGCTTATATTTCGTTTGTGCGTATCACTTGAATTAGAGACCAGACACATGAAAAAAATATTGTTCTTGAGACCCTCAATAACTCTCCCTTCAGAAGATCAAACATTAGTGAACTCAAGATTCTTATTGATGATAATATTTTACAATTACTTTTCTCCAGTAACACTGGATGCTTTAAATTTTCTCTAAAAGAGAAGCAAAGAAACCCTCCAGGGTCCAATTTTCACTTCACATTTCCAAGTAGTAAAATAGCAGCTGTACATGGTGATGAAAATGAGTTTCAATTTTTCCCTATTAGTTTTTAAAATTAAAACATATCTGGATTTAGCCAAGTTTCCAAAAAAAAAAATCTTAGCTGTCAAATATTTTATAACTTGTAACAAAGCATTACTTACATGTGATTTGCTCTGACTTATCAGGAAAAAATACCCCACGTGTGTGTGTGTGTGTGTGTGTGTGTGTGTGTCTGTGTGTGTGTGTATGTGTCTGTGTGTGTACATACATACATAGCGAGAAAGTTGTTTCTTACCTTCACTGAAGTAGTTTTCTGATTTAGACATGAGAAACAAGATTAAATGACCAATGCTGATTTCCTTATAAGCAATAATTTGGATCTTTTTTTTCATTCAGTACAACTGCAGTATTTTCGTAATAAATCACAAAAGGCAATGTAGAGAAACACTTATTGAACTGGCTGCTGCCAGGTAATTTGTATTTTATAGTCAGACTCTACCAAGAGTGGCACTATGGCTTTATAGGCATTTTTGTTTTCTTTTTTCAAGTCTGTCAGTTCTTTGCTTCTATTATTTTCTTCTAGTAGGACCTAGTATGTAATCACAAAGGTCAAGAGAGCACTTACAATAACATGGTGGACTTCATACTCAAGAGCTGATATAAACCAAAGTGAACAGGAGTCAACTAGAACCAATTGGTCACATTCAAACAGTTCCAAAAGCACTTTGCTACTACAGGTTTCCTCCTTCTTAACTGTTTCTTTGTTAACCTTATTAAAATTAGAATTAATAAGATTGCAAAGATTTTTTTTGTAGAGTTGTTTTTTAAGGGACTGTTAAGATCAAACATATTTCAATTTGCAAAATGTCATTAGTAATGTCCTTTCTATAAACATGGTTGACAAAATAAAAAAGGCACAGATGGATAGGTATTGGGGAAAGGAAGGGTAAGAAATGTTTTCAACTTTCAGTGAAGAATACCAAAGCATGTACCATTCATGAAGAAAAACAGAGAAAAATGTTCAGTAATTCATGCACAACTTGAGCTCTGATAAAACTTCTCTTCAGAAAGATCCTGAGGCTTGAGGAGAAATGAGTCTTCCTAATTACATGCTTCATGTAAAATAAAATATAAAGCTGCACATACAGGTTTGGTATTAACAGTGGACCCATGTTTTGCATTTATAAACGTGAGGCAATTAAACAAAGGAAGACAAAACCAAAATACCTTCATAAACATATTTCACCTGTAGCCTCCGACTTTTTCTTTTTACCACTCAGTGGGATAAAATGTAAAATGCAGCATACGCAATTTTGTAATCTAAAAACTTTTCATGATAACTTATTGCAAATTGCACTTGACAGTTCACCACAACAATGGAAAACTGGACCCTTGTTGGTTCAGACAGTCCTTGAGCCCCAAACTGAAGTTGAAGTCACCAGTAAAATGATCTGGATAAAAAGTTTGCTGCTGTGCTTAACCAGCTAGCTCCACCTTCTGGGTGTGAGCCAACTCGGGATACTGCTTTGTCCTGCTCCTTTGTGGGACTCTCATCCTCAGGCAGGTAGTCCGGCAGCTCTGTATTCTCTTCTACTTCCACAGGAGTATCTTGGAATGGGACTAGCATCTGATATAGAGATGTTAGAAGCTATTATAAAATCAACTTAATGTGACACACACAAAACACACACACACACACACACACACACACACACACA